GAAAGTGCTAGAAGAGTTGTTTAAATCTGCTAGAACGGTTTGTGCTAATAAAGCATAAGAACATATCAAGTAAAGTAAGTTTGCATATTTTTTACTTTCGCTGTTGTTGAATTTAGTCGTCAGATTAGTTGACTTAGCATATACTGCAAAAAAGTTGCAATACACGTACAATATTTTATAGTTACAAAATGAATTAGCTTATCCTTTAATAATTTTCTAAATTTTTTGACTTTTCCATAGTAAAGCATAGAAATTATTTATTTACTTGAACGAAGTCAAGGTTTTTTTTTTTGATAATTTACAGAATTTTTCCCTAAAGCAAACTAATTTTAATGTTTATCGCCAGGATAACGTTTGTTTATCCATAACGGAAATGATTCTATGATTTAACAAGTAATTAAGTGTTTTAGAGAGACATATTAATAATTAAGTGAATAAAAAAATTGATAATTAATAACAAATATATAAATTACTTTTAATAATTGATTACTTACTACTTAATTTGGAAAGCAAAGTTGAAAAATGAAATGAAATTATGAGACAACCGAATTTAAGCTTCAAATAATGGAAGAGAGTAAGCAAATTAAGTATTCCATGGAAAAGCTTAATTTACCTTATGAGTACTTTTCAAGCCGAGGTATGTCTTAACAATCTCGCGATATTTTGAACTCAGTATGAGATAAATGAATATGGACGTCGACGAGTTCAAGGAGACCAAAATATTTGCAATTTCTACACTGCTCTCAAAAGCGCTTTCACTATCAGAGCTATCAATCTTGTCTACGAATATTAAGATTTCGATGATATTGTTGCAGAATGCTAAGCCTGCAAAGCAGTTGATCTGTTCACTGTGAAATTTATAGCTAACAAGCGCAGAAAGTAAATTCAGTTGTAAGTTAATTATCAGTTAAAACTCACATTATGTAAGGATATTTTTAAAGCCAGAAAATGTGCAATTTTAGAATTTTCGCAACTTTTGAAATTAATATTCCAGCGGGTCAAGAAATTACCGTTGCAAGTGAGGAACATAGCGACTATGGCGAGAAGCATTAAAGTCACCGAGGTATCGCGGGCTGACGACTGGCAGTTTGACGGTTGTTGTTTTTCCATGTTTGATTGGACCGAACAGTAGCTATAAATTTATAATGACGATTGAAAGCTCCAATTTTTTATTTATCATTGTGAAAGTGCTATATAGATGATTTATAAAGTTGCAATTATAATCTGACTTACTTTGAGACTTATAATTTTGAGAGGTTATTTTGAGAGATTGGTCTATAATTTTTCATCAGTGCTTTCTCTAAGTTTATTAAATTCAAATTGACATGAGTTGAAGTTCAAAACACCGTTCTGGAATAATTCAAAGATAGAATTTCAGCCAAGAATAATATAGTTCAAGACTCAAAACTAGCACTAACTTGAAATTTTGTCGGGATGAAGGTGATTTGCGGCTTGTATAAATAGCTCTCAAATCAGAACTTTCTTTTAGAGTAAGAATAATACGTAAATTCACGATTATTAGCGTAACAAATGGTATGAAAAACATCACCAGCGTATATGTGATGACTTTCATAACAACTCCATACGTGTGGTCCATCTGTAGTTCCGTCAACTGAATATGTCTACAAAATTTGATCTTTTTATTTATTTTCATGATACAAAAATTGTTATTTATGAGTTATTATGAGACTCCAAAAGTCTCGTTCATGCCATTCAATAAAACCGTTCAACGGATATCAGCTTTAACACACCTTTATTGAAGTGAATATTCAGACCTTCATTATTAATGAACGTAAAAGTAATTTTTATATGAATTTAGTGACAATATGAGGTATATATTTTTGTTCTTTTAAAAGTTAATATTAATATTTTTGGTACAAATAAGCTTACTGTGATATGCGTTGAAATTTATTGCTATAACAGGGAACAACGGTAAGTTCAAGCCAAGTCGTGGAATTGATCAGAAATGAAAATAATACAGAAGCGATAATGACGCATTTTACGGGAGTCCTAAATTTTTGAACGCTTGAACTGGCAATGTTTGCCTAGTCGTTAATGCAATGTAACAAGTATTCAATGTTAGAAAGTTAACTATATTCAAATTTCAATAGTATTAATTTAAAGTTCGCTAAAAAAAATGTTTGATAAACTCAGGCAATTAACTTATCAAAACTTGTGACGACGACTTGAGCTCAATACCATTGCTCAAAATACATGGGAAAAAATGTAATAAAAGCTAAAAAAGTTTTTCAATTTTACTATGAATTGATTGATAATTTTCATTTATAACTTTTTCAGAATAATCAAAAAATATTTGAATTTTTTATTTTCGCAAAAAAAAAGCAATTAAACTATTTTCATATGAATACTAAGAGTTTTAACAGCAAGCAAATATTATTAAACTTTTAAAACTAACTAAAAGACTCATTTAAAATAAGATTTTGCCATTTTATTCTTTTGAATGTGCACAGCAAGAATTTTTTTTTCAAAATACTACATTAAATATTTATGCAAAACCCATTTAGTTTGTGTTTGCAATTCTTTTTATTCTTAATTAAATGCAGAAAAAATACAAAATAGATGCTTCGATCTTTTGATTTCATTTTATCTTACTAAAATAAGCAAGCATTTACGTCTAACATCACAAATTCGTCTAACACATGAATGCTAAAGTGTGGGCTGAGTGAAAATTTATGTAGTAGTCAAAGGCACACTTTTATGAGTATCTGATTCAACACTGCTAACATATTTAATGAAAAAAATAGTATCAGAGCAAAAAATATGAATAAAAATTTTTTTATACAATTTTTGGCTGAATTTTAAGTTGGTAAAAAAATTGAATTTAATTAATTGTGTAGCAATTTTGCGTAATGAAAACCTTGTGATCCATCGTTGAGCTCGAAATGGATGACAAACTCCTAGATATCGGTGCAAGGAAACAAATAACGTCAAATACACGCCACACGTATGTGCTATCCTGGCTAAAGGATAGCTATATCTGAAACTTGCGAGAGTGCTCAAAATTTTATTTGATCATCATTATATCATTTTATAAAGATTTTAGTAAACTGATTTTGTGTAATAATTTTTATAATTTTGCCATTTGCATTTATAGAATTTTAAGTTTTATTGCTGCTTACCTTACTCTATCTACGATAAAACTAATATAAATGAAATTCTATTTATTTTAATTTTCTATTTGTTTTTGCTATATCAAAAGTTAACAATAGCAACTGACCTTTTAAGCTAGAAAATTTTTAAATTAAAAAAGAAAACTTAAGCCGCAAAAAAAACTGATAAAAATTGACTTGCTAAATGGCTTATACAAATTCAAAAGTAATGCGAATGCAATTAATAAATTTATATAAACAAAAATAGCCAGCAGTTGGAAATTTTTCTAATTTTTAAAATTTTTTCGATCATAATTATTTTTTCAAATGTTAGGTTTCAAATAAATTTTTTCAAAAAAAAGTATGACAAAGAATATTTTTTAGAGCTTAAATTTCTGCTCAGTGACTTTTAAGAGAATTAAGAAACCTCAAAAATTATCCACTGATTAAAAATTCAGTACTTTTCTTTTTTTTT